AGGAGGGGATGTGGAAGGGCGCGTTGAGAACGTGTCAGCCACTCTTCAGGCATCGCGGAGGAAACTGGACTACTCGAAACCTCCATCTTGAAGACCAAATTCACATTTAGAGGTGGGAGGGATGTCCGAGAGGGGACGCAACGACTAGCTATCACGCAAAATAGTAAGGGATGACATGACCACTGTGAGAACTATGACGAGGACTTAAATGGAGGTCCGTTAAACCTATCGTCCGAAGTTAGCATCGAGTTTTGTCTTGCTTGTATGAGAGGTTTGATGTAAACAATGAACACCACTAGCATCTCCTCAGGTCTTTTCAGTTTGTTTTGTGGTCTTCATTCAACCAAGGGCGACGGTGCAGCCGCGGTACCATGTCTCCCACTCAATAACATCGAACAAATCCCAGCGGCCTAGCAAAAGCGAATTCCACGACTCCACATCGGAACAGCTCACACCATGCCGCTTCCTCATTTCGATCCAACTTCTCCGTGCCCCTGGTCCATTCAAACAGTGACTGGGAGTCGCAAGGGTAGAGATACCCCGCTAAGGATATGTTTGCCACAGCCATTGGTTCCTGAAGTTCCTCATGGAGGCGAAGCGGACCAGGAACCCCAGTATGTGGCGCCATATTACTGATTTAATGTACACATGTCTCTCCAAGGTAAACAACGCCGTGAGCCTCGCGGCCAGGACCTCGTGCCTTTTACAAAATCATGTGCCTGTTTGGCTGAACGAGCCCAAAGGGTGAAGAGTCGAGGATCTGAGGACAGATGGCCGCCTGTTCTCGGTGTATCTTGGAAGGGGGATTCCGCAGTTCCCAGGTCGAGGATTTTTCCTCGCATGAGACGGGGGTACCTTCGGCGGGAGATGCAGCGCGTGCTCTGGGATAACGCGGTCTGACCTTTTACCAGTGTCACATCACTGGAGATGCGTAGCGGTAAGGGAGGTGGGAAGCAAAGTGTTAGAGCGGAGGGGGCGCTTGGAAAGACGTACAGATTAGTAGACAAGAAAGGCGAATTTGATGCTGATGATTGACGTGATAGAAGCTTAGAAAGTGGCTGTATGGGTTGTACATAAATCATCGGTATGCGAACAAATAGGAAAAGCCCCGTGTAAAGTCACGAGGGCTGTACAGCTCGCTGGTTCTCATTAGAGCCGTAGAAGTTGAAGCAAATGTCGTTTTGAGAGAAGGAAGAAGCGCGTGGAGATGGAGAGATGCGGGCGGAGTGTTTTGTATTGTAGTCACGGACGGAGTAACGATCGCCCTAAGCCGTATTGGGCGGGGTATACTGAGCGCAATTCTGGCCAAATAATCGATCAGTGTCTCCCCTCATTCTCTCAAAGTTGCAAGATTCCGAGGAGTGGGTGTCCTTTTCAAACGGACTACCACATTTGAGTCGCACTAACAGGAGCTGTCAGGTAGTTGAGCAACTACCATTAACTTGGAACGCCTGACATCCCGGCGCTGAAGCTCCTGCGTGCATCCGAACAACTGATTCTCCTGCATAACAAAACACTTTGGCTCCGTCTCCGCCATGGATTTCCTCAAGTCAGCCGTCGCATCGGCGATTGCAAAAGGCAGTTCATTCCCTTATTCGCTCGGCGACAGAGTCGACCTCTCAGACTCAATCTGGACCCTTCATAATGCTACCAAACGGGTATGATACTTCCCGAGACGCTGAATTCCAGCTCACTTACAATGCGTTGTCTATAAAGGAAGACGGCTCCCCGTGCAGCGTATTCACCTTCGATATCTCTTCAAATAATTCTCGGACCCCGTTGGCCAGAAATGCCGTGCGTAAATCGCGGACCTTGAGACATCCCGGGGTAATAAAAGTGCTGGACACTATCGAGGTACTAGAAATCCTTGGGCGCACTCGTCACAGGACATGATGCGAGACGGTCCTTTCCTACTTGGCGCGTATATACTTACTTACAGAATATAGACAGATACCAACATCTACATCGTGACCGAGCGGGTTGTTCCTTTGTCCTGGCATGTCAAGCGCCGAAGTCTGAGTCGGGAAACATCAATATGGGGGCTGTATACGGTGGCTGTAAGTGCCGGAATCCAAAATCTGTGTCTCGACATCATTGCTGAATTGTGCTTTTTCCTCGCTCCTACAGTCTACCCTCAAATTCATCAATGAAGATGCCTCTTCCGTTCATGGGATTGTCAGGGCATCCGCAATATTTACTAGTGAGAGTGGTGAATGGAAGCTTGGAGGGTTTGATGTCTTGAGTTCCATGAACGACGAGAATGCAGTGATATATGTGAGTCGACCACTGCCGGCCAAGTCTGAGGGATCTTTGAACTTGTTGACGCAAGTACAGACATACGGTAGCCTTGTACCAGACGCGGCTCGGTACACTCCACCCGAAGTTGTCAAGGGCGGCTGGGATATAATCAAGAGACATCCCTTGGCAGCAGTTGATGCTTATGGGCTTGGCATTCTGATATACGAGGTCTTCAATGGCAGTTTTGCGGGGGGTGACCAAGTCGGCAAAACGACGAATATTCCGCCCAGCATGCATCAAAGCTACAAGCGTCTCTGCACAGCCAATCCTAAACTGCGGTTGAGCGCGGCGCATTTCGTTGAGCAAGGGAAGAAGACCGGTGGCTTCTTTCAGACACCGTTGATCCGGTTGACGGACGACATAGAGAGCCTGGGCCTTAAGAACGATGCTGAGCGGGAGGAATTTATCAAGTATGTACAAAGCACGTCGCGTATTCTGCTGCGGTAAGAAGTTGTGAGCTGACTTGACCAGTGAGCTTGATGAGCTTTCGGACGATTTTCCCGAGGAATTCTTCAAGATGAAGGTCCTGCCGGAATTGCTCAAGTCAGTTGAATTTGGTGGCGGTGGCCCGAAGGTCTTGAGTGCTATTCTGAAGATCGGGACGAAACTGTCACCAGATGAATACAGTTCCAAGTTAACGCCTGTCATTGTTCGCTTATTTGGCAACCCTGACAGGGCTCTTCGGGTCTGTCTACTCGACAACCTACCATTAATGATTGACAACCTACCGCAGAAAATCGTAAACGACAAAATCTTTCCGCAGATGGTGAGCTTGAGCGGAGACTCCATTATCTCGGACAGGGACTGACGTTGATCTTCTAGACGTCAGGATTCACAGACGTGGCACCTGTTGTTCGAGAACAGACTGTCAAAGCTGTGTTATCGGTCGTCAATAAACTCAGTGAACGAACTATTAATGGAGACCTGCTGAAGTTCCTCGCACGAACCGCAAACGATGAACAGCCAGGTATTCGGACCAACACGACCATCTGTTTGGGTAAAATTGCGAAACATCTTGGACAAGGCGTAAGTGGAAAATGGCCACTTATTCTGGCACGCTGAAAAGTACTAAAACTCGCCTGCAGTCACGGTCAAAGGTTCTCATTGCCGCCTTCACCCGATCGCTGCGAGATCCCTTCGTCCATGCCCGCAATGCCGGTTTGCTCGCGCTGGCTGCGACAATCGAGTTTTTCAACGAGGAGGATTGCGCAGGGAAGGTTCTCCCCGCTATTTGCCCCTCTTTGCTAGATAAAGAGAAGTGAGTCCTCGGTTTTTTATCCCTTATTTTCGCCCTGATTGTCGGCACTAACAGAATATCTAGGCTGGTGAGAGACCAAGCGAACAAAACTCTAGACTTGTATCTACAGCACATTCGCAATTTCAGCAGCTCAATGGCCGATACGGCAGTACCAGCCACTGCGAGCGCAGAAACACCCAAGGATGCTGCACGAATTGGAACATCAAATGATAAGTCCTGGGCCGGGTGGGCAATCTCCTCGTTTACCAACAAAATTACGACAGCGAACGGCGAGATACAGCCAACTACGGGTACTAGTAAACTGGCCGAGACGGAGGCAACTCGCTCAGCATCCGTACCACGCCCCACAAGATCATCACCCTCCACGCTGCTAGACCTACCTAAGAAAGTATTACGTGCCGAAGCTCAACCTCTAGGACGATCTCTATCGGATCAGCCAGTTTCAAGCTCCGTAACAGCGAACGGAACGGACGATGTTTACGAAGCTTGGGGTGCTATTGATGACGATGAGGAGGAGAATGGATTCAAAGACGACGACCCATTCAGTGCCCCAATTGTCACCAGCTCCCCGGCGCCAAAGTCCGCCACTGTTCCTTTCGACGATGGAGGTGAGCCCGATTTTGCCGGGTGGTTGGCCGCACAATCCAAGGCCAAAGCGAAGAAACCCTTGCCCAAGGGTTTGAGCAAGCCCGCCGCAACCACAATCGGTACTCGACCCTCCAGTCATACCAACCTTTCCAAACCGAAGACTGTGGAAGGCCCCACCAAAAAAATTGATACGAAGCCTAAGGATGAGGGCGAAGATGATGGTTGGGGTGACGCCTGGGATTAATGCAATAGATACGGCTGGTTGATCTCTCAGTCTCCCTTGGATATTCCGCATTGCAAGCCATGGAGTTTTGGAGCTTGAATAGCTTTAAGATACCAAGCACATATTGTAACATGACGATAGACTACCAATCCTGCTGAGTTTCTATTGTCCGTATATGCCTTATCGATATGAATGAGACGATGCTTATCAACTAATCACATGCTGCCGATCCCGTGATCAGCACGCTGTCTTCCTTCTGCTCCGCCGCTTTTGCGGGAAGTACTCGGTGTGAGCTTCGGCTTCATCATCAGAGTCCTGCTTATGGGGCTTCTATTACCGAAAAAATTTGTGCATTTGTGAGTTAGGAGGCGGGATCAGTCAACTAGTAGTAACGTGTGGCCCATGCACAAGGAGCTGACTGTTTTCTTCGACAGACTTTCGTTAATTCTGCTGCCTTCGCAGTACTCACCCGGTCTCAAGCCGTGCGGGCAACACTGTTTGAGGGGAGATTTGGACTTTTCCGATAATCAGTCAAATGCGCGATGCGTGATCATTAACCAGCCCATTATCTATTGTTTTCAGTAGAGTAGTCGCTTCCAACATTGCGGTTGACAATCATTGGACAATCTTGTGATGGATTCCGACGAGGCTCCTCCTCCATACTCCGCCGTCGATCCCTTACTCGCGCCGACAGTCAATAATAGAAATAACAATGGGTCGGCGGAGACAGCTCGTACCTTTCTTCGTCTTCGCGGAGGTGAAGCGTCGTTGAGCGATATCGCGTCCAGAGATGGCTCCACAGCTTCCGTTGATGGTTCCTCAGCGGCGTCTTTGGCCCTCCCAGCCAACTTCGCATCCGCTACGGCCTACTTCATAGAGCGACCTCCAACTAATTTTAGCGAGGAACGGCCTACTCTCTCGCACCTTCTCACCATCTACCCACGGAGCCAATCTAAAGACTTTCCCCGGCGTCCTCGGTGTTGGAGCCCTCGGACGGCGGAGATTACCCAGCAGGACTGGGACATGTTTCTAAAATATCTCTTTCCTCCGCATCTGGGGCTTGCAGCATCGTCAGCTCACTTGCCTCGGCAGCTGAGAGCCGAGATACAAAGAGATCGAAAAGATCGCCCCCAAGAGACCGATGAGCAACGCAGGCTGCGCATCGCAGCTGTGATTGAGGAATGGAACGAATGCTTTTTTGAGCCTCGTGCAAGTCGCATCGAATTCATTTATGTGACGGAATCGGAGAATGCGCCTGTCTCTCCATTATGTCCTCGTTGTTACCCTGCCGCGACTAGGGCAACGCGGGCGAACCGGTCAACGCAGGCACAAGAAGCTGGGGGAAATTCCTCATCCGTCCCCGCGGGCATGTTGCCAACCGTCGCAGGGCAACAGACAGCGCCACCAGCAAGCGGTGCATACGCACCTGGAATATTCCCGTACCCAACTCCGCAGATGCCTCCTGCTCCCTACCCACCATATGGTCCTCCTGTCTTCTTTCCTGGTATGGTTCCTAATACCCCTCCGCCTCCTCCTGCCACTCATGCATATCCTTACCCTCCTCAACCCCCTTCACAATATCAGCAGCCTCCCTCGTGGGGCTGGAACAATCCTCCGTATGGTCCGCAGTACCAGTACTCGAGCACCTCCAAAGGTGGTCCTCTTGGCTGGTTATCATCGCTGGCATCGCATGCGCAGAAGTACAGTGAGCGCATTACGGAGCAAGCGCAACATTATGGAAGGCAGGTCGAAGAGCAAGCCATGGCTCATGGACGCTGGATAGAGGAGAAGGCCGGACTTAACAGTCGAAAGCTTGAGGACGTTTTTGGCGGCCTCTCCAGCCCGCCCCGTGTGGAATATCCTACGAACAATCCGCAAGCGCAAGGCTTTTACGCCCATGGCTACGGTTACCCGCCAGTCAATGTGGTGTCAACTCAACCCGTGACCCCACCGATCACTCAGGCTACTCAGCCCGCTCAGCCTGCTCGTAGAACATCAGTCGGCTCTATTTCATCTGAGTCATCGTTTTCATCGATCGATTCGATATCGACGACGTCTGACCTCAGTTCGACCGATTTGGCGACCGTTCGAGCACAGCTTCAATCTCTTAATAACCATCACGACCGTGAGCTATATGAAGCGGCAGTTGGTCTTCGGCGTCAACTCGACGTTTTGCGCGATTCCCGTCGCCAATCTCGTATTTCTGGAAGAGGCAATTGGAGAAATGGGCAGCAAGGGCACTGCCGTGGCAGCTGGGGCCGGTGGGAGTCACCGCAGGAACAGCAGCGAAGCTCTGCTGAGAGACGTGCCCTGAAGGAGGAGGTGAGAGCCACCAAGAAAGCATTCAAGGATGTGTTCCGTCGTGCCAAGGATGAACAACGGGAACGACGGCGGATCAAGCGTAACCGCTGGCGTCAGGAACGACGATTGCGCCAAACATCAAGGGAGAACGAGCATCCTCTCGAAACTCCTCTGGAGCAGCAGCTGCAGAATCTAGAACTGAGCAATAGCCAGGAGAGTGGGACAATGGTTCGCACAGGCGCATCACATGCGTCCCCACGGCGATCTATGAGTTCTGAGGCCAGTGGGATTAGCTCAATAAACACTCCAGGCACTGGATCCGATAGCGGCAGTCCCCGCGAAGGCGTAAATCCGGCGCACACAGAAGAAAGCAAAGAGCAGAAGCAAGGCGAGTCCTTGAGAGGAACTAATAATTTTCCGCCGAAAAAAGACAAAGGTGCTGGCTCAAACGATGCATCCTGATGGGCGCCTGTCGTTGGACGGGTGTTGCTTACGGGCCACGAGTGCATGGAAAATGCCAGGCCTATACAAGAGGGTACTTGGCTGGTACAGGATCTCCGTATACCTGGATTCTCTTATGATGTTATGACTTTGGCATTTTTAGTACATATTCATGGACGTATTTTGGTCTACAATGTTGATACTCGGATCCTATTTCATATAGCCTTGTTTAATGGACTTGTCACTCCATACCCTGTAGATCGAGCACGTTTGTCGAGGAATTCGTGCAATTGTCCAAGAGGTTAGCTCTCAGTGGTATATAGAATGACCACGAAAACTCGGTTCTACGAGCTGACACTTTGTTGCGAAGGGTTCGCTTCATTCCTCTCCACCAGATCGCCGACACCCAAACTCCGACCGACCTTGACGCGAACGGTCTTCTCTTCCTTCTTGCCCAAACTTCCAACTTCGTCGCCCTCATCAGCATCCTTCTCGTCACTCTTGGCGCGCTCTCTGTCCTTGCGCTCAATCTCCTTCCAGTCCAGCCATTGATCGGTAAGGTCCAGGCGCATGGCGTACGCGTCCTCTCCATCCGCGTAGTACTTGCTCTCGACGGACTCGACCTTGAAGCCGAGGGTGTCCCGGTACAGACGTAGAGCGGCGGTGTTGGAGACACGCACATGCAGCGAAACGTAACTGGCGCGATGGGACTCGGCCATAGCACGTTCTTTTTTTCGCAATCAAATGCCGTCAGTCATAAATAGGGAAATTTGAAAAGGGAAAAACATACGACTCATCCTCATCAATCTCTCGGCAATACCCAACCGGCGATGCGTCCGCATCACACTCAAACTCGTGATATGCCCGTGCTGCACCCCGTCCGTCGGCTCCTCCTCCATCTTCGCAAGCACGTACCCGACCACCTTGGGATACTGCCCGGAGAGGTCGGCGGTACCTGCGCCTGTGCCTGACGTGCCTACGGCACTGCCCTTGTGTTTCGAGTAGCCATTGCGGGGCCGCACGACGGCCACGAAGCTCAGTTGCGGCCAGGTCAGGGCATGGTAGAGGTAGTATTTCAAAAAGTAGTTTTCGGGGAGGTTGGTGATGTTGCAGGTTTGGATGGAGGGGAGGAGGTCGATGTACGAGGGGTAGGAGGAGAGGGGGACGATGTCGACCATTTTTGATTTCGGCTTGAGTTGCTGCGATGTTGTGGAGTAGGTGGTGTACGGGAGGTTCCTGGTACTCTGGCCAATCTTCAAGCGATCTGGCACTTATATAGAGGCCAATTGGGACTGCCTGGCCTTTGACCGAATGGAAGATGGGCTTGAATGGGTGCGGAGCTCAAACAATGGAAGACTGATAATGATGACTGAGAACCGGAAATCATGTGGCTGGAGCGCGCTAAACCCTACTCGAGCAGCCAATGGATATGCATCATCAGATCCATTTCGACAAATACACTGGCACCCTCTATTGTTCCGGCGAGGGTATATGCAGTTCACTCAAACCTATGTGCAGATAACCCATTGTTCCATATAGCAGTCAGATCAGTCTTGAGAACCATGATGCAGAACAATCCCTATTTCTATGCATAAATATACTTCTTTGTAGAGGAAGAATGCTATGTGAACAAACATATGTACAATGTCAAATGTATCGATGCAGTCATATATCATCATGAAAGATAATGCTCAATGTAAATAGCAACCCACAACTCCAGACGCACTCAAATAAACAAAAAGCCAAGGTCTATGTGGTGACAGTCTATATAAACAAGTCCAAACCTCAAGTTAGAAGATCGAAGCAAAAAAATGAACACCTGCAATAAATAACAGCGCGCTTAACAAGCTCCCTGCCGGCATCAACATAGGAGCAGCAGAAGTGGATCCACAGCATTCGCCGTTGTAGGTAACGTTGTTCATCTGGGCTGCTACACCAAAAACAGAGCCATTGAAATTGCCGTAGTTGTAGTAGTCGACGAGGAGGAAGTTGGGGGGACGATTCCACATGGCTATTAACGGGTTAGAGACGGAAATCCTTTCCTTGAAGCGACTTCACAAGCATGAGAAGAACTTACTGGTGCAGTTCTCGGCCATCCGTCCGAGACTACCCGGCCCAGACACGGCGTTCGTCTGGTTCAATTCCGCAGTGTTGGGGATGAGCAGATCGATGTTGGCAACGTTGATCTCGACGTTCAAGTTGTGGTTGGCCACGTACAGGCGATTATGAGCATCCTCATTTGAGAGACCAGGGGGACGCTGAACGGTGCAGGGGAAAGTCGGGTCTGTTGGCGAGAAAGGCGTCTCCCACATCTGGGAGAATTCGTCCATAAGCCACGGAAGAGCAGTTTGGTTGGCTTGATAGTCCATAAACACGACGGCTCTCTTGCCGGACAGTATCATCGTCGACAAGGTTGGCCAGTCGTCCAGGGCCATGGGAATCTTCGGAGGCGTATAGACCAGATCCAACAGGCCCGAGTCCTCGATGGGCTTGGAGAAATTTCCCGGTGCGGCATAGTCGTAGTTCCCAATCAGAATGGTGACCACGTCGTACGGGTGCTGTCTTATCCATTGGGTGACGGTGGTGAGGTACTCAGTCAGGGTGCCCACGTAGAGTAGATCACAACTGGTATGACAGAGATACATGGTGCCGTTTTCATAGTGAGTCTGGAATTGCACTGCACGGGTCCCGTGTGTCAGGTTAGCAGTCGGCCTCTCGCCAAGGACATGTTCTTCAAGAGTACGTACGCATTCGGATACCGTCGTTCAACTGACTGACCACCTCCAACGCTTGGTTCGCAGCAGCATTGCCTGGTTTGACAAAGGGACTGTTGTGAGCGGCCACCATGGTGATGTTTGAGTACTTGCGAGCACAGAATTCGGGATGGCCATTGCAAGGCTGCGTGTTGACGACGGGAGATGCCGAAGCCGACGCCGACGCAGTCATAGTGGCATTCGCCGTGGCATTGCCGACCAGTCTTGTCATTGTATCTGAGGAAGTGGTATGAATGGTCGAGTTACCGACAGCGGTCGCGTTAGTCACAGCGGCCGAGGAGAGAACTTTGCCATCGCTGTCAGTGGAAAGAGTGAGAGTGGAAGTATAGGTAAGATAAGTGCCGGTAGGCAAAGTTGCATCGCTGACATGGTCTGTGATTGTTCCCGTGAGGGTGAAGAGAGCATTGGTCGCTGTTGTGGTGCTAGTAGGAGAGGTATCTTTTGCAGCCAGCGTCAGAGGAATGGCTGCTGCCACCAACAGTGGCAGCCAAGAGGTTAACAACTGCATTGCTGCTGCGAAGGACGATGCGGTTCGGACAGGTTGGAAACTGCAATACATAGGTTGTTCTATCTCAACTTGAAGGCTATGAATTGAGACTGCAATCTATCCTTTGTATGGCCCTACCGAATGGATGAGCTCTTCAGAGTCCGAGCCCCAGAATCCGTCAGTCGACGGTTTGAGAGGTCAACAGGAGAATCGAGAGAGAAAGAGAGGGTGCGGTAAGGTAAGGTTAGATAGGTATCATACCTGTAACGACCATCCAGAGGTTGACGTAGCGTCAAGGTGCCTTACCCTACCAGTACCGAGAGACGCCTGGGACTACAGTAGATATCCGTAATTTGAGAAAAGCTAAATCAGGCATCCGAAGCCTAAAGGAGCATTAATGAGAACCCACTTGCAAGCCACGGGACAATCAGTGGCTGATCCCAGGCAGATCGTGGCGCTCTTTAGCGGATATATTGAAATAATATCCAATCATAGATGGTTCTGCATTAGGCAACTGGAAAACAAGGATCCATATAGTGGGGCCCCTCGGGGCTCAATGACGTTGGGTTGCATTTCAGGGGCCAATGAACAATTACAAACGAATAAAGGGTACTTGCAGTGGTGTGCCCGAGTCATGTTGCTCAACAGTCCAGACCGTCACATCCAATTATTCAGATTTTTGACCGCTTACTCTGCACTCGAGAGTAGGGAGGCCCAACACAGGAGGCATAAGGGAATGTCCAGCTATGGATATCCGATGTAGAAATCATTCAGGTTATCCTGTCTGAATTGGCGCTACTCCTCTTACCAATGCGATCAACGGATCCATGATGATAGCATAGCGTAACCACCAGGCCGGTGCAATTGACTTTGATCACTGACGGTAAATTGAAGATCGCTGACGAAAGTGGGATTTCTCAGTCAGAAAAGGGATATTGATTGACAGATAGACAGTATTACTTCATAATATTATTGGTCTAAATCAATACAGCTACCTATCCACTGCCACAGCCTCCCTTATGGCCTTTTTTCTTTTTTTTCTTTTTTTTTTTTAAGCTACCCACTCTGAAACCTAGTTGTCCCTTTCCACCGAGTTACGAGTCACGACGTAGTGCGTACGAGACATCAAGTCTTTCCTGGCTTAACTGCCCGGTATTGATCTACTAGACTACCTCTCTAGACTGATGGCAAATTGATGTCTCGAATCAACTCCCTACTCTGAGCTCGCGTTGACGCTCTTCATCCGTCAAGTTCCCTTCTGTCGAGATTGATGCTGAAAATCTACTATCACTCCGTCTCCGTCTCAATTCTTATTCTCTCCTAGACTACACAGTATATCTTTACTATCAACCTTCCATTCAGCATCATTCTCGTTCTCCTTGGTTATTTCCTTGCCTTCTGAGGATCCGGACACTCCGTATTGACAACTTATCGCCTGTCTCTATCGATGTCTAACGTCATTCATCCTACGTCCCTGGACTAGCTCTGCCATCATTGGGCTTCATTAATCACTTAGATATTTCTTATTATTATTCCCATCCGTGTTAAAGTTGCTTTGATATACTCTTCCCAACCCTGATCCTCAGGACTCCTAGCAATCACAAGCTTGATCCGTCTTCCCTAGAGCTCTATACTTATTCCATGGCAAAGCTACCAACATTCCAGAGACGATCAGAACGGCCGGTGTACGGCCGGTCCCGGTCAACGGTGCTTTGGCATCGGATCATACGCTCTTTACTCTATCTGATAGCCTGGGTGTTCTTGCTTCTGGTCGTCATTGGCAATGTTTCCGACAAACCGGTTCTCCGACAGATCTACTTTCTCAAGATCGATCTATCAAACATCGTTCCTTTGTCCGTCCCAAACGCCGTTCTCATAAACAGTATTGCCAGAACTATCGGTCTTCATGACTTCTACCAGGTGGGACTATGGGGTTTTTGCGAAGGATATATGGACTCCGGGATCACCCGCTGCTCCAATCCAAAAACCCTATATTGGTTCAACCCGGTCAAGATCATCCTGAGTGAGCTGTTGGCGGGAGCTACCAGTAGGTCATCTCTCCATCTAAAACTGTTATTTATCGAATGTGCAATGTTAACGTCAGTTTCTCCTCTCGCCCATAGTTGCGCTCCCAAGTGATATCACCGATGCCCTCAAAATCGCTCGCCTCGCTTCTCACTGGATGTTTGGTCTCTTCATCACAGCCACTGTCCTGACCTTCATCCTGATCTTCCTCGCTCCATTTGCCGTCTCCTCTCGTCCTCCTCAGACAATCTCGCCTGATCCTAGTGTCAACGAATTGCACCCTCCGCACCGGCGGCGCACCTTCGTTTTCCTTCGGGCCTTTCCTTTTCTCATTCTTACTTTCCTCGCCGCTCTCTTCACCATTGTTGCATCAGTCGTTGCCACGGTCATGTTCAGCATCTTCAAGAACGTCTTCACATCGTCTGGGTACGATCTCAACATAGGTGGCGAATTGGGTGCCCGGATGATGGCGTTCATGTGGATTGCGTCGGCATTCAATCTCCTGGGTTTCATCTTAGAGCTTGGTTCATGCTGTGCTGCCTGTTGCGGCGGCCGCAAGGCCCGGAAAGAGCTCAAGTCCATTAAGAAGACAGAACGAGGGGCTTCAAACGAGAAGGACAGCCCTCATAGTCCTGCGACGACCATAACAAGTTGAACTGGGGCACTACCGTTAGCTCTTTTTCAGCGGCATTAAAAACTTTGTCGCTTCCTTTGTCTCTCGCATGACCCTGACTGGGAACGGATTCTCTCTCAGACTCTCAGAGAGCACCTCCACCGGGAGGGTTCCGTTCATACACCAATTTCCCAGGTCAGGCTGGCAAATCCGCAAGTGAAATGCTCCAACAAGTGTCAATAATCGACTCGATACCATGTACATATATACGAGACCTGTTACCTTACACATCATCGTTACCTCGAGACGTTATGTACGCCGTCCTGATCAGCTACGGTGAGATGTGGACTATCCGTTCCAACGAGCGCGTCAGGTCCGGACAATCCCCACGAGCACACAAAGACCATGTGTCTCATCTTTAGACGATATATAAACAGTGATCTATTCTCTATTTTCTGGAGCTGGTACCGATTTTGGGTTTACTTTTTGCTGAACATTCATGAATCTTACGACCGCATAACGATTGGCATGATTGCTTAAGATTCCAGGTCCAAAAAAGGGATGTGTCTTGCCCATAGATATCTCTGTATTTTGAGCCGAGTTGATAGATTATTAGACTTTATTTTGGAATGGAAGAATTATTTTAGCAACGATGTGCTGATGTCTTCTTTTAATTCATCAAGTGCTGACAAGTCTACAATATGCAAGTGTAACTCTGATCTGGGCTATGCATGAGGATCCTCCAAGATCTGTTGGACATGGTGTATCGCATGAACGCTTCGACAGATTATCAAATATGCAGTATCACCGTGATAATGACATGGGTATTGAAACGTAAAATTGTTCAGCCTCGCGCCAGCTCCTCCTCCATCTCGTGAAGTAGATCGTCCTCGACATTCACTTCATCGTCATGATTAGTGCTGCTTGCTGCCTGAATCTCGGGAGGAGGTATGCTGGGCGGCTGATTGCTACTTGAGCGTGGCGCAGGAGGCTGCTGAGAGACTCGAGGCGCGGATGCAAAGCGTAGCGGAGGTCGAGGTCCTGCTCGAGCTACCGCAGGCTGTGCGGAACCTGATTTCGCTGTTTCGAGCCAGTTGTACTTCTTTTTCTGCAATGATTGAAGAAGCTCCCCGCTTTCCTGCGTTGGCTTTGATGGAGCTATCGAAGCTGGATTGGGTGTGATGTTGGGCGCTTCGTCAGTAAGATCAATAGTCACCGTTCCTGGCTGTGGCTCGGCCGGAGCGGGGTGTTGCGCTGATCCAGTTGTGATGCCACTAGGCGGAGAATTGCTAGGAGGCGGATTTCGATGATGCACCGGGGTATAAGGAGTGCTCGCAAACTGCTGACCGGGAGCAACAGATTGCGGATGTGAGGCAGCCTGTGGTGGATACCGGGGTCGGTACCCGTGCGGAATAGGGGCCACGGCAGGCATTCTCTTCTGAACCTGGATCTCATAGAGGAGGTTGTTGTATATGACACTGAGATCATGCAGTCTGCCTTTCCAGACTTCTATTTCTTGCTTGTACTGCTCCGCTCTTCTTTGATGTTGGGTGGACACGCGCCGCAGCGTCGCGTTTTCCTCCTCGAGTATCTGTGCCCTTGACTTCCCTGTTGATGCTTCCAGTGCTGTCCATTTAGACCACGTATCCCTGTATTTGTCTCTTTCGTATTTGAGTTGTTGGACTTTATATTTAAGGTGCGAAAAACGGGCGTTGACTTGGTCGTTGGCGATCTGAATGCACTTGACGTGAATTCCCGGAGCTGAGGGAAGGTAGCCCAAAGGCCCATGGTACATCGGATATGGAGATGTGTATTTAGGTACATGATCAACTCGCTGCAGAGTCTCACGGTCTGCGTTGGCAAGAACATCTTGCGTATCCAGAGAGAACTGTCGCTTGGTCAATTCACTTGTGGGAAGTGATACGCCCTCAGTCTCATGATCGAAAGTCACAGGGTCTGCAGCTTGCACCTGGACGTTGAAGCTCGGGCGACGAAACGCATCGTACGAAGGCTCCGCGTCTGCAGAGTGAGGTGCTGGTCTGTTCTCAGAAGAATACTCAATTCCAGATAGGTCCGGTGGAATGTGGAAGGCAGGATCTTCAAATAGAGGATCAAAAGGGTCAAAAGGAGGCGCGGGTAATTGCGAGTCTGCAATACCGCCTGGTGTATTGGGCACTGTTTCAAAATGGTCTAACTGAATAGTGTCGGGCGAGGAGAGAGACGGTGTTGCGTCCAAAGAAGGAGCACTGGAGCGTAGTAGTGAATCCGGCATCAGTCGTTTTTCAGGCCTGTGCCACACTTGGAAATCATCAGCCAAGGCTTCGTCGGCGGTTCGTTTCAAAGAAGAAGAATTCGCGTCGAAATTGGGCAACACAAAGTCGGGACCAAAGAGAGGATCGTAGAGCAGATCGTCTGCATTTGGCGTAACGTTCGAGCTCAAGGGCTGTGGAGGTCTGGTCTGCGCTGCGGCATTTGTGGCAACTTCAATCGACCGGACTGGACTGGCGGCTGGACTATCAGGAAAAGACGGCCCAATTTCGTTGTTTGATGAATGCCCCTGTCTCAACAGAGACGGATCGTCAGGCGTGCCCTTGCGTGAGCCTGTCGTCTGACCATCGCGGTTCGACCCTGCGGGCTGACCGGCCATAGATATCCTCACATCTTCGTTGGATGAACCGTGCTCGTCATGCAAGGGGTTCGGTCGAGTGACATTGGTATGTTGTAGCAGCTGCGACCCAGGGGGAGGTGTAAGCCCCAGATCATTCACATGCATATCATGGTAAGATGGGGGAGTTGGCAGATCCTCGGGAGCAAAAAGACTCTGAGGGTCATATGGTTGCGAAAACAGAGGGCAGGTCGGGAGAGAGGTAGAAATACCTTCAACCACACTTCCTTCCATCTCGACCTCAGAAAGCCCAAGATAACTGGAAGTCAAAACCAGGGTACACGGAATACCACAGGTATGAGCTGCTGGAGCGGTAGCTCAAAACTTATTCGTTGGTTTCATGCGGCGGATATTGACGTTGCGAGGTACTGACGTCGCCGAGGCGTAAGTGATGTGGCGAGCAAAGCAAAATGGACAGAAAAAGCACAGAGAACACCGTACCACATAAGAACCGATGAAGGCTACTGTTGAACAGATGCGTACGCTCACGCCGAGTAGCTGTAGTCTGTGGTGTTCAGCCGCTTGTGCCACTCTTGTTGTGCACAGCTAAACACGGATAACTATGCCAGAGGGCACTGCTCGATCACACAACAGCTGACTGGTAACACAAGGACCATCTAGCGAGATATGCAAGGTACTGCTAGTAGAGAACGAGAAACAAGAGATACCCGGGATAGAAATCAGGCGAGTACGAGTTCGATGAAGTCGACTCAACAAGATCAGACTCTGACAATCAAGCAAGGAGAGCCAGGGTCATTTTGGGCGTGTAATAAACGGCAACCAGGGCAAGCAGAGTTCGGTATACGCAGAAGCAAGGTGAAAGAGGCCGCAGCCCTTCGCATAGATCCAATAGGATGAAGAAACCTGGAGGGATATACGGCAAGATGGAGCTGGAAACATGGTGTAAAAGTGAAGCTGCAACAAAACAATCACTGCTTTTTTCCAATCTGATAATGGCGTTCCGCCTTTTTCACCGCCTGTGCAACCGCTCACGTGTGCTCCCCATGAGCTGTTGCACTAACCCCATTCAGGATTGCAATCAGTGGGTATAGGCCGGCAGGAAGAGTAGTCTAGGTACCTCTCTAACATCCCAATACTTTACTTCTCCCCTCATCCGCAACGACCAAACGAGAACTCTCAATCATCCAGCATCCTCGAAGGATCTAGAGCTCTACATCGTTATATCTTACTTATAATGAGTGTCATTCTTTGTACTGGTAAGTATGGCATGGGAAGATTTCGCAATCTCACTCTCTGTCGAAGCTGCATGACTGACGTAGTTGTTATGGGATGTCGTAGCGGGTTATGATCATACAATTCGGTAGGCGAAGCGAATGCTTTCCTGTGCTACCTGATTCTTTAGCAAACTGTGCGCTGATCTGTCGGAAATAGATTTTGGGAGGCCCTCTCAGGAATATGTTCGCGGACAATTCAGCACCCTGACTCTCAAGTCAATCGTCTCTGCATCACACCTGACAAGCGCTACCTAGCGGCCGCGGGACACAATAATGTCAAACTTTATGATATCAAGTCAACCAATCCGAATCCAGTCATGACGTTTGACGGTCACACGAACAACATCACGGGGGTCGCATTCCATTGTGAGGGGAAGTGGATGGTTACCAGCTCCGAGGACGGGACGGTGAAAGTATGGGACACTCGTACTGGAAGCTTGCAGCGCAATTATGCACATAAATCTCCAGTCAATGACGTGGTGATCCACCCCAATCAGGGTGAGCTAATTAGTGGTGACAGAGCGGGTATCGTCAGGGTTTGGGATCTGGGGGAGAGCGTCTGCACACATCAACTCATCCCTGAGGAGGACGTTGCTGTTCAGAGTGTTAGCGTCGCAAGCGATGGCTCTCTTCTCTGTGCAGGGAATAAAAAGGTACGCGCTGAACTTGAAACCTTTTAGCTTCGTTAGCTAATGAGCACTTGGTTCTAGGGCAATGTCTACATCTGGCGCATGATCCAGGACGCCGAATTGACTCGTATTGTTCCAATCTGCACCTTCCAAGCTCACAAAGACTATCTCACACGGGTTCTCCTTTCTCCCGACGTCAAGCATTTGGCGACTTGCTCCGCCGACCATACTGCTAAGGTCTGGAATCTCGATCCGGATTTCCCCCCGGCCAAGATGGCAGCGATAACAGCAGCCAAGGCCAGAGCCAACGGCAGAGAGTCGCCTGCTCCCGAAGCCAAAGAGCCTGTAGCGAATGATCCCGTTGCCTCCCCGACATCACCCAAAGTCCATGACCTTCACGTTGGCGCTGATCTGGGAAGGAGCGGGGAGTTGAACCCGATTACCTACATCAGGGGAAATGCGCCTGCGAATCCGGAGCCGCAGCAGACTTTCCCGGTGCAACCGGATGGACCTCCCATGGATATGACTACCGGGACGCCGTTTCTAGAGACCACATTAGCCAATCATCAGCGCTGGGTGTGGGATTGCGCGTTCTCTGCAGATTCCGCCTATCTTGTCACCGTTTCGAGCGATCACTATGCACGTCTGTGGGAGCTGGCTTCGGGTCAAATCATTCGTCAATACAGCGGCCATCACCGCGGGGCAGTATGTGTCGCATTGAACGACTATTCAGAGCCCCGTTGAGGTTGGGTAGAGTAGCTCAGTGAAATTCCGGGATTTGCATGTCGTACTACATGTCCATGTTCATGATCTGTTCTTTCTTTTGTCTCGATTGATTCACTTATTCCTTGGTTAGCATGGCGCCTGGTCTCGGGAGAAGGAAAGCTTTTTACTACCGCTTCGTATGGTCTTCGGTTGTCACCCTTAGCTTATCCATTCTAATGATTTTTTCTCGGACTTCTTCATTATCTACTCATGAAACTGGGCGGTTTTTAACTGGCATTGAATTTGAAGACACGATTGGTTGAATGCATTCGCTGGTGCAACCTTTTTAACCTCTTTGCTTGCCTCCCGAGACCCCTTCCACCCTAGTGTGCTGGAGAGTTGACTTGTAAAAGTCTCGGCACCTGGAGTGCTGATACAAATTGCGGCAATTCTTGAACTAAGGGATATCGTAATCAACATTGTTCTTGTACATCAAGCCTCTGAGAACATATAACAGGTGAAGGCATGCGAACACGATTGCACAGTCATAGAAGAAATGAAGATGAAATGGAAGTCATATCAAAACGAAATGTTGAACTTTCAAAAGCTTCACACAAACTTGGGCTCTTCCTTTCTTTCATTTCATAAATTTCTTGATCTGAATGAGACTAGCCCAGAGCAAACCATGTCACACTGACAACGACATCGAGGCCCCGCTCTTCAGCCCCGGGGTACTTGAATGTCCACATTCCATCACGGTTGACGTCCCAGAAGGCGCCTGAGGCAGAGTGCATACCACGTTTGCCGGCATTGCTTACGGCCCCGTCTGCTGCGGAAGACTTATCGATCAAGCCTTGTTGAACGATGGTGCTGTTGACGGTGAACCGGTATGGAGGTGATGTCGCAGGAGACTCTGGTGCGGTAGCTGCAATGAGGGCCTTGAGGATAGTGTTCTATCGAATCAAAGGATTATAAGTCAGACATGCTTTCGGTAGTCAACGTGCCTGAAGGCACATCATTTGCCGCAGGTTGATACTCACAATGATCTGGGAATTCCATTCGCCAACCTTGGCGTGCTCGTAACCCTCGGCGCTCTTCAGGGCCACATCACAAGCCTTGGATCGACCTGTCAGTACAAGTATAATGCCCAAGTTGAGATCTTCGCTAACGTAAGGTATGGAAGTCGATCACAATGGCTACTATTGCTGGAGTGGAAGAGGCAACCAACGTACATCTGTGGCGATCTTGGTGAGCTCCGGAATGGGTATGGGCTAAAACATAGAGAAAAAAGACAGTCAGTATCAGCGACTGAAAGTTCAATATTCGAATGGAAGAACAGATTTCGATGCGGAGCGTCGCAGATGCCGCCGTTAAGATAGATAGGGTCGATCACGCACAGAAACAGGTCCCTTCTCGACAGCCATTGTATATGAGTTTCGTGTAGAAGGCGTTCACAATCGTGATACGTGAGCTAAAGCGCTATAGTCAGCAGGTATATCACCTCGGGAGCCTATAAACTGCGGTGCAGGTCGAGGAATGCGGCGTAACGACGAGTGCTGGAGGTGCGATTGCGGGGGAATGAGACCGCTGTCGGAGCTAGTCGAACAAATCAATTGACAGATCCAGGTCCAGTTTAAGCTTACCAGGTGGGGTACAGATATGCAGGAAACTTAGATAACCAGATATGGATAGCACTGCAGGAAAAGGGAGAAGTGAAAGGTTAGGAGGTCACAGCCGCTGTGCTTTCTGCTATGGATGTTTGGGGGACGAGACAACATCGGAGTCTGTGGCATCATGGGTGTGGCTTGGCGGTCGATGATTGGGCAATGAATTGCGCCAAGCTATTCCTTAATCAGCTTAGCCTCTACTTTATCTCAAACCGTCACCGCCACAAGGGCACGGCAGAACGATATTCCATGTCGAGGCCTCAGGCAATCAAAGCTCAGCAAAGAGATAGAGCACGTGGGGACTCTTTGGCGGTCGAATTGGGCAGAAGCTCCATCAGCGCCACGCACTAGTCTTCTTTTAGCTAGCATTTGGCCGCTTGTGCTACCGGGAGGGGTATTTCTCCTGATTAGTCTGTGTCCAGCCCTCTTAGCTGTCTCTAGTTACATCAGTCCAGCCAGCGCCCATATATTATCTGCTTGCGACCATTATTATAGCTTCCTTCGGGCTGTGCGGTCTTCCTCTTTTACAGACTTTTTTCTTCTAGTTGTATTCTACCCATATAAGCTGCAGGATTTCAGTGATCACGTACATACGCGTTGTCAACCATTGATCAATCGTTCCTCTGTCCAAGCCTTCCTTGGTAGCTCTCTTGGCACTCCTATCTGCCTTCATTCTCCCATTTATTAGCAATTTTTCACATTCACCGATAATGTCGAGCCAACCTCTGCTGCAGACTGCTCCAGGTATGTGTCATGGTAGCAATTGAGACATCAATTTAGTTCGCCGAGTACTTACCCATCACCCATCGATACAGGCAAGCGAATTGCCCTGCCAACCCGGGTCGAACCCAAGGTCTTCTTCGCCAATGAACGTACCTTTCTCTCGTGGCTCAACTTCACGGTGATCCTGGGCGGACTGGCCGTTGGCCTGCTCAACTTTGGCGACCGCATCGGTCGCATCTCCGCCGGATTGTTCACGATCATCGCAATGGCAGCCATGTTATACGCTCTTTTCACATTTCACTGGCGGGCGCAGAGTATTCGGCGACGTGGGCAGAGTGGAATCGACGACCGGTACGGTCCCACTGTCCTGGCATTGTCGCTTCTGGCAGCTGTCGTGGTCAACTTTATCCTCCGTATGAAGGTGGACTGAAGATCGTCTTGCGGGTTTGTGCCGTCGATCTTCCTTTCCTGCCCGTAAATGTCCCCACATCGCATCCTCTTTGGGTCAACCGATAAGCCAACGATGCTTCCGCGCTTGGTGTTTGTATAACACTGCAACAAAAGTTCAAGCAAACTGAACGATGACGACTTCCACTTATGTGCCGAGAGCTGTGGGCCAGCTCTTTTATAGGTTTTCTTGTCTAGGAATTTGGTTTTTACGCCGCATGTATCTTATGTTCAACTTGGGGATTCCATTTCGTCTTCTATGTCCGCTTCGACCAAAGGATTCCGAATGATGGTGCGCTGAATGGTAGAGGCTTCAGGTGGCAGGTCTCTTGAGATGAAAGCACATTGTCTGTTACATGAAATCTTTGTCCAAAGTCTCAAACGATTCTCGGTCGTCCGCTTCAGATATTTTTCATAAATGTTTTGAGGTCCGAGAACTCTGCCTATTTCTCTGCGCATTAGCCGTCCCATTGCTTTGTACTTGATCATCCAGTAGCAACTCCTCCAAGCATGCCTTGTCCAGGCTGCATATGTGGCGGTAATTCCCACAACATCCAGGACCCCGGCTGAATTTTCCGGTCATCAGAAGAGGGTGATTATCCAGTCAGCTCGTGGGAATTGGAGATTGATGTTCATCTGAAGCAAATTCTGTTCGGAGTTCGGAGGTCGGTACAGTCGGATGGAGCAACATCGACTCTCATCACTCAATCTCAATACTTCTTCTGTTGAAAACATGTCGGCTGTGCACTGAAACTTTCAGAGCAGTCTGTCTGGCGTAGTCGAACATCGTAGACCGTTGGAGATGCGGGATGAGGAGTTTCAACGAACACCGACTGCATCGTCTATCCATAATCATGTTTGCAAGCTCGACATTAGACCGATTTATTGACAATAGAGTCGCTTGGAACCAGTTCGAGTACTCCGGATCTTTGAGCACTTCCTTGAGAAGTGTCTGATTGCATTTGGGTGTCTTGCTTCGCTTATATGGGCTTGCTCTGCAATAGGGGGTTGGAAAGACATCATGGTAATGCGGGGGGTCGATCTATGCATTATGAGATAGTCTTTTCACTGAGAACTTTCCCCGAGTCTTTGCCAGACACGATCATAGTATCTGTGTCTCTGGAGAGTTGAATCGGATAATGTTAGTGTGCATCTTCCTCTGTCTGGAGATGGACCTTTTGGAATAAAGTACAGATTAGTCCCAAAGCCAAACCAATGAGCCTCTACCAAATCTATTAGATACATCCATGGCCGTTGTCAGCACATGCAAAGAGGGAATCAGATCCTGGTTAGGTGTGTGATAGGTAGTAGACATGGCGGCAATTATGATTCGTTGTGATTGCGGTGGCGATGCACTACCTAAGGTACCTTCCTACTATAGGATTGCTGCTGTAATGTACCTTAGATAAAGAGGTACCTTAGCAGTGACTACCTAAGTTTTCTACCTCTCTACCTACTAGGTAGATAGCTACGTAGTACTCAGTAAGTAAGTATGGGGTAGACGTTCTATCCCATGATTCCAGTAAATATAAAGGTACACAAAAAAAGGCCGAGTCTTTTGTTCCAAAATGCGACTGCTTGATATCCAGTAAGAGTCGCCCGTAAGCAAACTTGAATCCGTACTTTTTAGCCAGTTCATGAGTTGAAGCCAAGCTGGACCGCGCAGCAGCGCCGAATAATATGGGCCAGTCCAGGCCTCGGATCACATCAGAGGATCCACTGAGAATGTATCCTGTTTCTCTGACCCGGACTAAAAGTAATCTGATTTGACAGGTCATTATTTCTGACTGCTGTAGCCTGCCCGGGGAACTATGGAACAAGTCAACCGCCTGTTATCTATGTAGCCTGTTAGGCTGTACGATAGATATGTGGCTACCTGTACCTAGGCATCTAGGGACAGGATGCTGTCAGTAAAAGGCAAGATGAGATGACTGGGTAACTGGGTGACAAGTGTGATAATAATAATAGTAGTAATAATAATTACGGAGTTTTTCTGTCCTCTCTTTGGGTACGTTAGCAATAATAATGTCTCAGGTTGAGGTCTGTCTTATGAGGTAGGTTTTATTTTTATTCTATTATTGACTGCTAAGAGGACGACTAGATAACTGTAACTGTCTAGTCTAACTGAGCACTAAACTCCAGACTCCACACTATTACTCCGTACTCTGCTGTGTATGTTGCTTCCATGTTCCATCTGAATCAATCAATCAATCAGCTAAGCTGATCTCCATTCCCTTTCTCAATTTCCCATTCGCATTCCTGGTCCTCCCCCTCTTCTCCCAAGAGCCCAACAGGTCTCTTAGACTACACAGCCATCTCCCTTCCCTTCCGTCACTCTGGAAGCACGATTCCGTCTTCAACTATTACGACTCTACGAGATAGTCTGGGGCTTCCCTCTTGTCTGAAACTCTCTCCTCATCAGTCAGTGGAACTATTCCGTACCTTGGACAGCCTATCTATCCATCATCCATCGTAACTCTCGTCACTCTTGTCACACTGCAACCCAAGTCACTCAACCGACCGTTGCTCGAGTCTGTTCCTGGTCCCTGTCCTAATTGCAATACTGCAGTTACTACTCCTGAGTTTCTCAGTTATTTGTTGCTGTTTGTTTCATACTCTTCTCATCATCGCTCCTGTTGATGTTATATCCTTGTTGTTGTTGTTATTATTAATCATAGATTACGCCACCCTCAACCCACTCCATCCATCCATCCATCGTCCATCCTTCAGCGTCATCATTCCCCGTATTCCCTCATCTCAAGCCGTGGTTGACTTCAGCTTACCCCTTCTGCCTGTTTTCTCGCCTTTCTCGTCCTGCATGTGAGTCGCTGAGAACCTGACAGGTCCTTTGATTGACACTTGATTCTTATCTTTGGTAATTACCTAAATTATTATCCTTCTTTGTCCCTATTCCCCCGCGCTCTCCTCTGGTTTCCCGTCTCACTTTCCGATTCCCCCCTTGCTTGTCTGCCCTGCTCCTTCTGAGCCCTGACGGTCGCAAACGCCAATCGACGTCCAAAAATCAAGAACCAGTCCTATTATCCCTTTGATCCGCAGCATCCGTCCACCCATCTCCATCATTCACTTTTACCTTCTTCCCTCTTATCTATCTAGATTGCGTTCGCCTGCACCGGTGCATGGCCTCAACGCGCAGCAGACTACTAAATCTACACCTATTTTCCTCTTCTTCTATTCTGTCTATTCTTGTTTAGTCTAATATTATTCTTGCGGTTCCTCCCCTTTCTTCCTTCCTTTTCCCCTCCTATCACTACCGTGGCTTCTACTTTGGACGTGTCGCAAAGTTTCCGCCACTCAACCTGACATATCAATACCCTGGCGTCCGACCAAATTTCGCATGGCATGTTTCGGCTGCTTCCTTGGTCCTCTGCTCTCGGAGGAAATAAGGTGATGGCGGAGGAGCTCAAGATGCTTGCGATTTCGCCACACTGCGCCTCTCCGGGCCTCAGCAGTATCGGATTGCCCCAACTGAAGCGCAAACGCTCCGATTCCAGTGATGCGGCCGCTGTCGAGGATGCTCCTGTCGCGACAAAGTTACGATCCGATGACGCGTCGAGTAATTCGCTCTCCGGCAAGAAGACCCTTTCTTCGACGGTAAACGGCGAACCTGCGGTGTCGCGAAATTCGGCATCCCTCGGAGATAGTACTTCGAACAGTTCCATATCAAAGCCATCCAAGTCGCCCCATCGTCGCCAGAGTTCGAGCTCGTCCAGTTCCATCACTGGGGATAAAACGGCCGCCCCGCGCAAGATCGACGTGGACACGTTACGAGAGACATTAGAAGCGCAGCTGAGCTTGGAGGTGCTGTTGAAACACAATGAACTGCGCTTGATCGACCAGGAGATCGCAAAATGCCAGATTGCGCTGGAACAACTGCGCCGGTGCGCCGAGATACCATATCCCGGATCTCACGTCGCTGGCGTGTCGCAGTCTGTGAGTAACGGCACAGGTATGGCGGTACATGCTCCTGGAAATGGTGTGGCGCCGATATCCCCAGCTCCATGGGGTGTCACAGACGGTCCTTATACGCGACATTATGCGCGATGGCTCATTCCCGATCCGCGCTTTGACGGAGGAGAACTCGAGTCAGGGACTCCTCTGACTCCGGGCGCTCTCGGCACTCCGCTGACCGAGGGTCGTTCGACTCGTGGCAATCCTGTCGATGGAGGCTATCTTGCCAGCAAATCTCGTCCCCAAAGAGGCTCAGCCGGGGCCAAATTGCAGTCCCTTCCCAGTGGATATCCCACACCCAAAGAAAAGGCTGGTCCTATGATTATCCGGCGAAAGTCGGACGGTGTGCTTGTCAAGCTTATCTGCTTGGATTGTCGGAGGGATAATTTCTCGAGCACTCAGGGCTTCATCAACCACTGTCGCATCGCTCATAACCGGAATTTTGCCAGTCACGATGCCGCCGCGATGGCCTCAGGCGAGCCGGTCGAAGTAGATGAGGCAGGTGCCGTTGTCCCTGGAAAGAATGATACTCCCAGCGCAACTGCGGCTGGCTTCGTCCACCCGCTTATTCGATCCGCGCATGTAATCGAGCCATCAACCAAGATTCCTTCATCGGTTCCGGAAGGTTCCGGTGATACTACGACCCCGCGAAGATACTCTGTCGCCAGCCGACGGGCATCGTCTGCGGTGGAGACACCGACTATGCATTCCCAAGCAGGCAAGCGAACCACGTCCGTAGGGGGGAAAGCCTCCCATCGCAACTCGTTCACGGGGTCACCTGATACCCCACATCTTTCCTCTCTTATGCAACGCAGGGGTGTAGGGGTAGACCTGGATAAATTAGTGGGCGAAGCGAAGACGACGATGGATCTCGAAGCTTATTCTTCGGAGGCCGAGTCAGAAGATGACCCAGCGGAGATATCTGTAGATGCTGCGACACAAGCTCAGAAACCCCTTGGGAACCGGGCCGTTAGGCAGTCAATGCGAACGACGGGATCTAAAACCGCATCGCAGCGGCCCGGAAGCCGCAAGGGATTTGATAATACAAATCACCACTCTCCATCTCTGAATGGATACTTTCAGTCTTCCTATGGACCGGCATCTTCCGTGTCTAGGTCAACTGCCATGGAGGACTTGCGGGAAGAATTGAGTCCAACCACTTTGGAGTCAAATCAAGCCCCAAGTCTGGTGAGCGACGATGATGACTACGGAGCAGCCTCAGAATCTGACAGCCCGGAGCCAAGCTCATCCGAGGCCGGTGACCAAGATGAAGAGTTTAGCCACATTGATGTAGAAGACGACGAAGATGCTGCGGCCTCGCCGGCAACCACGGGGCCCAAGTCGGATCCGGACATGGGCAGCGGTGCGGCTCATCCTTCGAAATCCTTGTCGAGATCGCTCCGACGAAATAGCACGAAGAAGAAGGACCGAGTCATGTCTGCTTCGATTGCCCCCGTGAAACGGAGCAAAGATGAGAAGCGGGTGAGCTTTGTCAGTCCGAACAGCAGATCCGCTAAAGGCAAAAGAAATGCCTCGAAGAAATCCAGCGGAGGACGCAAGCATTAGACTTGTGCGGGTCTCTTTTGCCTCTCTCCTCTTCGGTTTCTTTTTCCTTTCTAGAGATGAGAAGGAGCGGATACCCTCGCGTGCTTGTAATCGTGTAACTCTCTCCTCTTTTCTTTTTTTCTGCCATGGACGTGTTCTCCTCTGTGATGAGTGCGGGCGTATGTGTCAGTTCGAATGGTACGGATCGCCTTGCGACCTCTTCGTTGTTGAAGTTGATCTTCATCTCTGAGAGCACTACTGCGGTCCTGGTGATGCCTGATGCCGGATGGTTTCAACAATCATGTCTTTAGCAACATGTGCCTGTGTTTTAATGTCTCTCAGCCTTTCTGGTGTGGTGATACGATTATAGTATGATTTAGCAGATGGAACTCGAATCAATAGACGAAGACAGTTTGCTCTGGTCAGCAGCGCGTAGGTTACCCAGCCATTGCAAAACTGGAGAATCAATCCGGTAAATTATCGATTCTGAGATCAATACAGCCCATAGAGTCACACTTGAGGAATTGGATTGAGATCTCGTTGTAAATGTTCGGAGATTGCGCGATTGAGATATATTTTTGTAAACGCCACAACACTTCGTTACCCGATGACAACAACAGCAACATGGCGCTCTCAGAACGTGAAAACTCCCCAAGCGATGCAGAAACAGATCCCCAAGGCCAAACAGAGGGGTTTCCCGAGTTCTCTCCTTCCCTCATCTCCATTGACACGTTCAATGACCTCCTTGCACGCTATCCTACCACCGTAGAAACGGTGATACGACGCAAGGAGACCGCAAAGGCCATCAAAGCCGCCACAGCCCGAGAGAAGAAGACGAAAGGAAAGGCAAAGAAACACGCGGCAGATTCTGCCGCCTCGCAGCCTACCCTGACACCGGATGAGAAACAGTATATCGACAACCAAGTCCGGGCGTACCTGTCTCTGGACGCGTTGCGGTACGGGACTCTACCAGCGCGGGTGCGGGGGAGAGCTACCGCTGCTGCTACAGCTACGGAGGGAAAAGAATCCAAGACAAATGTCGGTGGATACCTAGAGAAAGATGAGCTGGTGCAGTTGATGGAGTGGAAGCTGTATGTCCCCTCAGTTCGTTCATTTCATCCTGTCACACGATGTTGATAGTGATAGAAAACATGGCGTCTACCGTCCCACGCTCCTCGGCCTGGTCCGCTCGAACCAGGCTGCTCTCATCCGCCGGACGACGGCCTCTGCGTTCGCTACTGCTCCGGCGTCAGATCATATGGCCGATCTGGTGTCTGCGGGCCCAGAGGCAGAGGCGGAGTCGGAGTCGGACAGCGCATTCCCCAAACAAAGCCTGGAGTCATTGACCGCTCCGCTCCGGGGCGTTGGGCCCGCAACGGCCTCGCTGATTCTGTCTGTTGCGACGGAGGCGGCGCCGTTCTACAGCGATGATGTCTTTCTTTGGCTTTGCTTGGGTGTGTTTCCATCTGCTGATGCTGCTGCCGCCGAGGACGATGGGCAGAAGAAGGGCGGAGTGTCCAAGCGTATACGTCCGAACGGCGAACTCAATGTCAAGTATAACCTGCAGGAGTACCGGCAGCTCTGGGAGGCTGTGCGGCGGCTGCGGGCTGGACTGGCTGCGCAGTCGTCTGATGCGGTTTCCTGTGCGGATGTTGAGAAAGTGGCATTTGTGCTGAGGCATTATGATGTCTCGGCTTATTCTGTTGAGGATGGTCCTGCTGCTGCTCAGGGAGATGAGCAGACGAAACGGAAGCCTGATCAGGATGTTCAAGCGGGGGAGGAGAGAAGCTCGAAAAGAAGACGATGAGCTTTTATTTCGCTTGTGAGGATGATAGTGCTGGAATACATCATCGCTTGTGCTCAACGCATGTACTATTAACTTGATTCAGGCAGAGTGAAGTACGTATATTTCTTTCCCTGAGGGATATGGCATATTACAGATTAGTTCAATGACACGAAGTACAGTACATCCTCCTATCAACACCCATTATGTTCCATTCTCTGCAAGTCACTCCGCCCCATTCTACGCTTCCCGTAACCTCAATCCCGAGCTGGCGATACACCACCCTACAAGGCAATAAACCCAGCCAAGACAGCAGCCAACAAACTTCCACCCTCCACAGCCAATCCCGCAGCCGCACCGGTGGACGGGGTAGGCGAGAATCCAGACGAAGTAGTGGTCGTGGTGGCCGCCGTCTCCGCCGTCTGGGTCGCTGACGACGTCTTGGTTGCCGTACCGGTGGCCGTCGAAGTGCTCGAAGTGGAGTAAGCCTGGGCCGCATTGCAGTAGGACGTTTTGGTCTGTTCGGCGCCGAAGCTGTCGGGGTGTCCGGGGCAGTTGTTGTAGCATCTTTTGCATATAATTGCGTTAGTCGTGTTGACTTCTGAAAAAACAGAATATACTCACGTCAGGACATTGATGCTCTGGTCACAGAGGCATTTCCAATCGTTGGGGCCGCAGGCGGCGAGCTGGGGCTTCATGGACTCAAGACAGGCGTCGACGATGCTGCAGCGTTCTTAGCATGTTTTGGAATTAGCCTAGGGTTGATGGAACGGACTTTTGGGCTGCGCATTGCTTCGTGGAGGAAGAGCCAGTGCTTGCTGCTGTAGTCGTCTGCTGCGCTAGAGTGGAGCCGGTGAAGGCGACGAGGAGAGTGATTGCGGAGGTGGAGTAACGCATCTTGAGCAGTGCAAGTAGGCTGGATTAGGGGGGAGGTGAAGCAGACGCTTGTGAAGTGTGAGTGGTAGAGTAAGGAGGATGAAAGAACAAACGAACGAACAACAGACAGAGAGAAGGGGAGCACTGAGAAGTTCTAGGTAAGGAACTTAATAAAAGACATGGTCAGGTCACACGGCTTGTGCAGAACGACTAAATTGGGCAACAGACCCTGCAAGGGTGAAACTGTACATGGAGTAGTCTAAGTATCGACATACTAGCTAGCACCTGCCAGAACTCTCGGCAGGAAGAGATCCCTAAGACATGCAGCGTCCGCGCATCCTATGATACGTCGGCCCAATTCCCCAGTCTACCGATTAAATATAGTATCCTTCGAGGTCGAACAGAGACCTAAGCACAGTACAACCAAGAAGCAAGATTCAGGGTCCTCAATCAGCAAGTTTCAGTATCCGCCTACACACCCTGATCAGGAGAATACCAGTGCATCAGGACATGAGATCAACCAATGACAGCCGCGCAGCAGAGACACTATTGACAGACTAGTCTACGAGCCGGAGATATCAAAGCGTCACATTGTGAAAGATCGGGTTGCGCTCCATACGTCTCAGAATGCCACAGTAAGCATTACCAGCTTTTGAAGGGTGTGGCTGGCCTAGGGCCTTCGATACGATGCTAAGCGGAATCACTACCTCTCTAGAGTCCTTGGCAAAGGAGCTGATAGGCCTGCCCGACTTTCTGACTGAAAACTGTATCTGCTTGGGTTGTGTTGTGTTGTTTCAGGGGCAACTGGTCTATTGATCCGTGAAAAATCCGGGTTGCAGGCCTCATAAATCAGAGAGGGCTATTCTTCAACTAACCTTGTTCTCTGATCTGCTATGGAAGCTTCAATGGTCTCATTTTTCCCGGAGTGCCAATCGGCAGATTAATCAAACATCTTAAGAAATTGACCGGTCACATCGACCAGTCCACAGATCCTGATGCAAAGCTGTTGCTACGCATTTGAGCATTCTCCTTTAATCACTACACGGTCGGCTAAATGCACCACCAAGATCCTTCTAATGATGAGGAATGTTCTCTGGCTTCACGGTATCCATAAGTCAAAATAATACACAAGTATATACACGGTGCGCCGGCAAAAGAAAAAGCATGTTTCGTATGGGAAATAAAAAAAGAAAAAAGAAAAAAGAAAAATTGAAGTCGCGTGCAAATCCACGGTATAACGTTCTTCTCCAAGCAAGCACATTGTATGAGACAAAAACCTTCGTCAGGCGGAGATGGGGGAATATGAGAACGAAACGAGCGAGAGAAAAGCGATTGGAGGGAATCGAGATAGCACCGATGGCTTGACAAAGAGCGATAGGAATAGTAGCGAAGGAAACACCCTGCAGCATCTGCATATGCAAGAATGGGAAACTTCCCGCCCAATTTTTGGCCTCGCTTGGAATCACGCCGCATACCCTAAGGCGAGCGACACAATGCTAAAACAAGAGATGCATGGATAATCCTGTTTCTTGATGAAATGCTTGTCTTGTTCGAAATCGAAAGCAACTACTCCTGTCCAAAACCCAATGTTTCCTCCACGGCAATGGACATCTTGTGTTCCAGTGTTTCGTACGACTTGTACGGGGGAAGGTCAAGACGATTGAAGCTAGTGCCGTCAGCTCGCGAACACAGAAACATCACAAGAGGGTTAATAGCGGGAATTCTACGTACCATGTGTGAGACTTGGGTAATGCTGCCGGATCACCAGACTTTTCAATGGTGAACCGTCTCGGCCCGTCAGAGCCTTGAAGGTCCTTGAACCCGTTGACTGGAATACGAGATGTACCAGTGGTGAATTGGAGAAGACGCGACTTCTGCTCAGCATCCCAGCTTCTGACAACCTTCCAGAAATTCTGGATGACTTCGTCTGACTCCTGGTAGCCACGGTAATCTGTGTGCTTCTTCCAGTCATCTACGTCGATATCGGCAATACCTCCGATCAACAGCTCCAATTCACGTTCGTCAAAAACGTTGACCAGATCCGCGGGAATCAGCTCGTTAAAGCCGGACATGAAGGCGTTGAACTGCTCCTCAACGCGCTTGACAATCTTCCACTCAGTGACCAGCCTAAAGAGCCCGTTAGTATTTCTATCCTGATGGTTCTCCGCATTCAGAGGCAATGGAAGATAGCAACTTACTCGACATATTCTCCCTTGTTCTCGTTTGTGACAGGAATATCTCGGCCACCGGGCTTGAGATCGATCGTGCGACGCTCACCAAACTTTTCGTCATCAACGGAGAAGGTGAGTTCCAGAACACCTTCAATATCATTATCCCTGTAGATTGTTAGAAACCCTGAACCACCCCGAATACCGGCGGAACAACTTACAAAGTCCACGTGAGATTACGGTGGAGATCTTCGTCAACACCCTCCATATCTTGGAGAGAAACCTTCTTCCGAAGCATCATCTTGTAGAACGCACCAATGAAAAAAGAATCGAGGAAACGGCGGTGGAAAATGGCAAGTCCGACGACTCGTCCAATGAACTTGAAATAGTTGAGGTGCTCGGGGTTCACGCCCGAATGGGGATTAATCTGTAGTGTGTAATTATCGTGTGCGGAGTATTCGAAAAGGCAATAAAACGGATTAAACATTTCGTGGGAGAGAAGGAAGAAGAATTCACTAGGCTAATCGTCAGCAAATGCAGGTCGTATCAGTCACGACGAGACGGGGTACATACCGAGAAAGACCACCGTAGTCGAGACCGTCTTCACCATCAAACTTGATCATCAAGCGCTTCTTCAAGTCTGATGCACTCTGCCGCATGATTTCGGCGTACGAGTCCTCGAAGATATTGTTCCGGCGCACCTTGACGTGACATTGTCCGGACATGATTCGCAGAGCGGGCTGAGAACGGAAGTAAATCAGCTTGCGCCGGAAGTCACGCTTATACTGTGGTACACCCTGGTCCAAGGACGACGGCAGGCGGGGGTCGTCCCACGTCGTCGTCTTGGTGTTGTGATCGACAAAGTACACTCGCGCTGTATTGGTCAAGCGCATCTCCCAACCACTGGGCAGGGGTCCCAGCTGTGATACCGGCTGCTGTTGGATCGTAGTATTCGTGCCATTGGCATTCTGTCCATACATCCGGATGTACTGCTGCCGTCGCGGGTCCACCCATGTCGTGGTACGGGTGTTGTGATCCACAAAGTATGGTCGCCCCTCGGGGGTAGTCCGCTGCTCCCATCCCGGAGGAAGCTCGCCAGTGCCTGCAGTCGTGGCTCCTGTTGCCATCATAGAAACAGCATTGGCACTGCCCCCGGCCGGCGGGGTGTGGGCCTGCTGCGAACCCTCCGGCAGATTAGGTGAGTTGGCGCCAGTACGATCCTCCGGTAGCATTCGACTCTGGTGGGCTCTCCGTTCAAGTTGCATATTAGCTTCGCGCTGGGACCGTTGCGCATGCTCATTGTAATTCGATGATGGCCTTGTCCAAGTGGTGGTTCTTGTGTTGTGGTCCACATAATAGGTTCGTCCCAAGTTGTCTTCTCGCCTCTCCCAGCCGGCTGGCAGTCGACCTTGACTATCTTCGAACGAGCTGAGGTTGGTGCGAGATCCATGGCTATTGTTTGCGGCTGCCCCAGCTGCGTTGGCGGGAGCGGCGGTGCTTGATGGCCGGGTAGTGGAAGGAACACGTTGGGGATTAAGGGATGGATTCGACACGGATGGATCGACTGGAGCTGCAGTACTGGCGGCGGGATGCGAAGACGACGGGGCCACTTGCGGGACGAGGCCGCTGGATGTCGATGACTGGACATGTGACCGATGCAGGCCATTAGCTTGATTGGTATTCGGTGTGCTCAAGTTCGTAGATAGGTTGATGATCAATTTGCCGTGTACGACCAGATTATCATTGGACTTCTTGAGATCCCGAGTGAGCATTTCTGTTTCGAGGGGTAAGAGACGAAAGGTTAGCCGATTGATGTCGCAGAAGTGCCGAATTGGACGTGGCTCACCATCACCACCCATCTGTAAATCGATCACATCTCCAATTCGCACATTGATCACACCGAGGAACCCCTGGTCCTTCTTCTTGAATTTCTTCTGGTCAAAAATCTGGATTGCGAGGATACTATCTTCGTTGACCCGCCTGGATAAGGATAATCAGCACCGGCTACATTCTGAACAGTAGTTGTAAGGCGACGTACAGATCAAACATCTCATTCCAATAGGGGTTCAGTGTCTTCTTGATCACCGATGTCGTATGGGTTTGCTCACCACCGACTGTGGCTACAGCGAACGGATCAGGGAATCCTGCGAAAGCACCACGAGTTAATATTCGGACGACAAGCAATATTGCAAGAATGTAAGGCATACGGAACACATCGCGCTTGTATAACCCATCCGCCGCAATAACTGTCAAGAGTCAAGGTCAGTTTCCATCGCAAAACACCTAGGATGCAACTCCGGCAGAGTCGGGATGATGCAGGGCAAGAACTGTGTTGCAGCTTACTTGTGAGCCGAAGGTTTGGCTGGCTATAGATGCATCCACTTGTTAGTATTTCGTCCTCGCAAACAATCAACGCAGACCGATCCGCTTCTCGGATGCCAGTCGAAGTAGGGAGAGGCGAAACTTACGCAGGCAGATTGGAACCCATGCTGTGCTGGCAGTTCAACACCTCTGGGAAGTAAAGGGCCGATCAGGGCGAGCCGAAAGAGAGATCCGCGGCGAGCATCCACCGCTTGGCACAGACAGGACGACCTTATGACTAGCACTTGATTTCTTCCGGACCGAGCTCAGACGTCGATGGATGCGGGATTGGCGGTCGCGTGTGTTGGAAAAGTGGGCGGAGGTTCGTGGGACGGAGGAGGAGGGAGGGGGAGGGACGACGAGTGGGATGGGAGTGGGAAGGGAGAAGGGGGAAACGAGAGTCGCAACGTTCCTCTTCTTTTGAGGCTCTATGGAAGCGATGCAGAGGAGAGGAGGTCGAAAGTTCGATGATAGCGAGAGTAAGAAGAGACTAAGGCTGGAATGGAGGCGCGGGCAAGTTCTCTGGGTCCCGCAGCGATGGACTTCCCACTCTTCCCTAGGTGTACCTGTCTCGTCGTGTATTAAGTAATTTGGGGCTGAGCAAGCACTAAGCAGTCCTGACGTTGGCGTCTGGGAACCAATAATAAACGTAGCGAGGGGTCGACGGGAGGTGCAACTTTCAACTTCCAAGGGAACATGGAATCAGTAATGCAAGTGATCGAACTGAGCCAGTGGTTTTGCGCGGGTGTGAGCGGAGCTGGCTTGGTCGGCTGTCTTGGTCGATATTCAATTCCGATATTTGATGCTTCATGGACTAGTCCTGGTCTCTAGGTAGCAACATTTTCCTTTTTCACAGGTTTGATCGGTAGACGATACTGTATCTCTTGGACAGACTGTGGCAAAGTAAGAGGAGCGCCCAAGAGCACTAGTCTGGAAAATCCTTCCTGTCATGACTCGATTCTATTTCACTTGTCTATGGGATCATTGCTTCATCCTCAAGCAAGCTGATTCTATTTAAAGTCATTCGAGACTTCCAAGATCCGCTCCCCGAATGACCAGGGGAGATCGCTTGGGCGGCTATCTACTTACTCAGGTCGAACCTCAAATGTAAGTACTTAGGTACATGAGTACATCTCCTCTAGCCACTGGCAGCAATAATAATACCTTAATGGTGCTTATCTGGTCTAATCCCATGTGTTTTTCCAGAAGAAAACTCTGAAATAGTGGAGAGGTCACCACACTTCGATCACATTCACGGCTTGTTCATGTAGGTAGATGTGATCCAAACTCTGCCATGAGCAGTTATGCCATGCATCTTGACTTGATATGAACTTTCCTTACGTATGACATGATATGACACCGATCTTTCAGCAGTGGGGCAGTCCACCAGCTCGAGACTTCTCCAGTCGACTCTATTATGATCTCTATCTAGACTACCCGTCCGGTTCGCCCTATCGTTCCGACAGATAGCGCCATCTGACAAGTGACAGCAGTCACTGTCTATGTGCTTCGTCCAACGCAAATCTAGACACCTGCCAACAATGGCTGTACCCCTAGCACATATTCGCATAGATAATTTTTTAACCAGAATCTGAGCAATCTCGGTCACAGAGCCAACGACCCAGGAATGGAGATATGCTGGTTTACTCCAAACTTTGAAATAGACCCGAATGGCTGATCATGACAATAATCCGATATGATGATATCACAGAAAATAACGAGAAAGAATTTGAAGCCATCTTAGTGATCCACCCATCAGGTCCCTCCATCAATGGTGGTATGTTGATGGTTATCGTACAGTGCATCCCCAGTCCCTAACTCCAAGAGATTCCTACCCTGAAACCAGAGAGCGAGTTCCATCCCCACGTGAAATCCAGTGTACCACAGCGGCCTCCTCTGATGCATTCATTCCCCATTCCGCAATTCAGTAGTCTTGCACACTGGGGAGCTCGTCCCAACAACAACAACAAACATCGGTTTGACTTTATACGGAAATGGAGCAGTCTGCTCGCATCTAGTAAGGTGCATAGCCTCGACCGCGACCGCGACCGCCGCCGCGATAGCCTCCGCGAGGAGGGAACCCGCCGCGGTAGAAGCCACGGCCGCCACGGAAGCCACCGCGTCCCCGGCCCCGGCTGCTCATACCAGGCAGATTGGTCCGTTTGGGGACAACCTAATCACGATTGTTAGGTAACGTGCAAAGAACGTACAAAAGATGATATGTACGGAGTTAGACACTGACCTTCAAGTTGCGGCCACGGAACACACTCTCGTTCAGAACAAGGGCCTGGGCGACCAGACTAGGCTCCGCAAATTCTACGTAGGCGTATCTGTAGGAAGGGACCAGCAGTCAGCAGCTATGTTACTTATTTTAGGAGTCGGTATCCAAGAGAGAAGACAGCGACGCAGGCAGCCGCCATCTTTCCCCGGAGAGATCGGCATAACACACCCTTTGGGTTGGCCTGTGAATTTATCCAGAAGGATGGTAACGCGATTGATGGAGCCGCAGCTCTGGAAATGCGCCTGGATTTCCTCGGGCGAAGCGCCGTAATCCACATTTCCAACAAAAATACTCCGAGCATCGATCTCCTCTTTGTCCTCGCGTAGACTCTCGGACTGTTGATCAAGAGTAGCTTGCATTTCCCGCAACTTTGCTGCTTCGGATTCCATCTCGGCTACCCGTCTCTTCATTGCCGCAATCTCTTCCTACATTTCGGAGCGGCTGAATTAGCTTCTCTGGATGGTTTAAAAGAGACAAGCAACACCCCGTATGCGCGACGATGCCACGAGAACATGGACCATCTGAAGTGTAATGTAGAAGTGGGATGTCGGTGTCAAGCTCCATCTCCAGCTCCAGCTCGACTCACCTCATCGTCCGCTCCTTCCTCATGAGTCTCCAGACGCTCATCCTTAACCTCCTGCTCTTCCGTAGCCATATTGATTGGTTTGTCGCGGTAGCCGATTTCCTCCGCTTTTGACAACGCGAAAAGTAAAAGTCGATAGCAATGACGATGTTCCGCTTGTCTGGCCTAGTGCCCGCGAGACGAAGATTGAAAGAACAAAGTATCCGACCAGAAATGGGGAACGAAAGAATTCAGAAGCACAGGAGAGTCCTGGTCCCCTTAAAGAAAGAGCCTTGGCACAACAACAAAACTGTTATAATGGTTGTTAATCAAGCAGAGCAACAGACAACGAATGTGATGTCTTCGTTGATCGGCACCTGGGTTAATGCGACGCTGCTCTTTCTGGCTTAGCGGCATTTGCCATCTGAACATCCGTGAACTTCAAGAAGCCAACAATGATAGAAGCTCTGGACACATATAGTTCGGAGAGGCAGATTGAAAATGCCTTCAGATCATGGAATATATACAACCACGATAATCATTGGCTACTTCTCATCCGAGTCACGATCATGGTTATATATCTGTCTTGTGTAGTTTTTATCATATATCTTGCATCTTTTGGCCTCTGATTTCTAGAGATATGCGGATCAGAATAGCACTGTATAGACTTCAGATGTTACAGGGGAATCCATCGCCTCTGATGTACCAAGTCGCGTCAATCAGCAGTATCACTTGTACTGAATCAGGATCGCAAGGTTCGACAGCTTTATAGACGGTAATAGTCCACCGTGACAACCCATACTAGCAAATGTAAAGTCCTTAAAGAGCATATCTCGGTGATCATTGACTGAGGTATTTTCACGCTAGCTTCAGCATTAGAGAACAGACTATGGAGCGCTAGAGAGTTGACAATGAAGTGGAACAAGGGCGTCGTAATCAGGGATGTCTATGGGATATATACAGCACATTAAGAAGTGAAACGTCGACTTATGAGGATGGGATATTGTTCTTGCGGAATGAAACCTTCTCGACCGCAACAGTCTCGACCCCATTCGCATCCGTCTTCAGCTGGTAAACATACAACACCAATACGTCTCCTTGGATCTGCTCCTCATCAGTAATCGTGGGGTAGGGCCATGAGCGGCGCATATATATACGCAAGGTCGGGATACTCACATCCATCAAACAGAAGCTGGGTACGGGTTCTTCGCCTTCTGGCCAGTAACCCGTGCTCATAGCACCTGTGGCACTTCCAGGATTCACAAAGAACCTGCCTTCCATTTCAAAGGCTTCGAACCGATGTGTGCCTCCCCACAGCAAGATATCTACGTCCATTTGGCGGGCCGCGATCAGGAGAGCATCGGCATCGCCCGGCGGAATGATGGTATGGCCATGAGTAAAGCCAATGCGGAGGCTACCGTGAGTCACCACTTTGGAGAGGGGCAGGTTAGGAGAATCGACATCGAAATCGCCTTTGACCAATTGTAAGTCGGGGGCAACCTGGCGCAGAAACTCAAAGGTTTCCCTATCGGTAAGGTTGCCTAGGCATAGGATCTGACCGATCTTCCCCGGTGTTAGGAGCTTCCGGAACTGCGATTGTGTCAACCAAGACAATGACCAAGTAGAGTGAAACCGACAGTGTGTACCTTGGCTGGGAGATCCTATCCAGTAGCGATTGCAAGTAAGCGCAATGTCTAATTAATCATTGGGGGAGGGATGGAGCCACTTACCGGAGCTCTATCAGGAATAAACAAGTCACCAATGACCAGGACCAGGCGGGATGTCATTCTGTATTGAGGGGATTGCGGGGTTTCGAAGGGTTCAACGGCCCATTCCAAAACAAGAAAGAAATGTTGAGAACCCGCAATCGAGAAGACGAGAGAGTGGCTGAAGTTGGTTGGCTGTTATCGATGATGGGTTGTGATAATATGGACCTGGAGATCTAGATGGGATGGGCAAAGTTAAGGTAAGCCTGTAAGCCTAAGGCAGGTACTTTCGCGGGGAAAGCTTAGATATGCGGCATGCCTTGACGCCTGGCGCCGATGCCGCGCGTGGTTTCATTCCGCTGTGCTTGGGTACTTTTATACAGAGTAGATACTATTGAACGAGATACATACGCAATACTCAACCTACGAGTAGCTTTTGGCATTGAATGTTGAATAGCGACGTCTACATAAGTCGTAGAGTGCCCAAAATTGTATACAACTTCCCTTGATGTGTCAATCGAAGCTTACACCCTTAGGTACCTCCTGAACTGGCGAATATCATTAACCATACTATGCCT